AACGAGAGCACTCTATTCGTGGTATGTTTCCCCCGCCTTTTTCATGAAGTTCGTTGCATGCATACGTACGGCGTGACATCATGTATTCTTGCTTATACTATCAATAAGACACGTGTAGACAACAACAGCAGCAGCGGCAACAACATGCTTGCCATCAATTTCGTTTCCAATTGCTAACCATGTTTGTGGTACATCTCCCTCCGTCCTCGAAAAAACACTATGACTGCCTGCAACAGCGGGTCGAGAAGCGCCGCGCTGATGTGCTCGAGATGGTGCGGAAGGATCCCGTGTTGGAGGAGGAGATGAGGACAGTGCTGGGGGTGCAAGGGTTGGAGGGCGTAGCCGCAGCTCACGCGGAAAACACTCGCGCGATGGCCGCTTCGTTGGCCGCGTTGAAGGGCAAAAGCCAGAGTAACATCGGCCGCGTTGCGTATACGACCGTGCTGGCCGCGGTGGCTGGAGCTGGGGAGCACACTTGCAGCCCTACCGATCCGTGCAACCCCGCAGAGCGGTGCCCTCCCGCTGAGCCGCAGGGTGGCGTGAGCTTCGCCCAGCGAGCGGAGAGCCTTGGGGTGAGGGAGAAAACGTTCCGCGCGGCGCATGTCCGGATGCACCATACCGACCATACTATCCCCCCGCCGCAAGCTCTGGAAGAGGGGCGCTACTGCTGGACTACACGCAAGACAAGGAGCGACGCGACGGACGAACATGTGCTGGAGTTAGCGATCCGCTTCTGGCACTGCGACGACGTCTCGCGTGCATCGGGAGATTCACCAGTTCATGGGGGCGGAGAACCAGGACAAAGGCCTAGAAGTAGCCTAGGGGTGGAACCAGCAGATAGTAGAGTCGTGGTAGCGGCAGGGGATGAACACGCGAACCCTGGCCCCGAAGTAGTCGGACCAGCCCCGCGCCCCGAAAAGGTTACGAGAAAATACACGTGCCGTGTTCGCAGGACGTCGTGTTTCTGTTCAAAGTGCAGGGTAGGAGCGTACCCGGACTGCATGGTGGCGAAGAACTACCCCGAAATCGTTGGCAAGGTACATGAGTAATCGGGAAAGGAGAGAGTGGTTCTTGCTGCCGACAGTTGAGCAAAACGGTAGCATTTTGAGTGCCTCACTTGGTCGTATTAATGTGTTTTGATCTCGTTCGTGGTCATTGCTGGTGGTGGTGGTGGTGGTGCTGCTGCTGCTGCTGCTGTTTTGTGTTGTGTTGCTGTGTATAGCATGCTGTGAGTCGTTATGTGCCGCCAGTGCTGTTTCGTTGTCGTTGAGGAAACTAACGGAGAAACCGGATTGTACTCTTTGAGTGTTTTTACCGTCAAAAACAACCACACTTCAACAAATTCAATTAAATTAGTACTTTAAACAAATTTAGTATGAGTATCACAGCAATTTTGTCATGCATAACAACGTGCATGTCCCACGCACATCATTTACGGCCGTCAGCGCGCCATGTTGCCAGCGTAAAAGCGCTTAATAACGCGAGAAAATGGATGAAAACACCGGGGGGGGGACAAACTGCTCCTATTTCCATGTCCACTGACACCCCCAAAAGCAAGGGTGGGTAGGTGGGAAAAAAAAACGTCACGGCAGAAAACAACCCTTGGCCACCACACGCACACGTGCTCTCGCTCGCCCCCGGTAAACACGGCGAAGCGAGAAGACTGAACACAGAAACCAACGCGCTCGTCCGCTTCCTGCTTTCTGATTGGCCAAAGGTTTATTTCTGCCGCTTCTCACAAAATGCAGATTTTCCTTACTTCGTCAGTTAATTTTTCGCTTTTCTCGATGCTTTCGAAATTGTCATTATTATTTTGCGCACCCCCTTTGGTCGCAAAGGGGGAAGGGACAAGAGCGGAGACCAGGCAGGGCAACACCACACACGCCCCCGGTCTACTCCTTACGATCAGTATAAACATCAGCCACCCAACAGACAGATTTAAACTCTGTCTGCCCCCAAACCTAAG